TTTTAAAATCAGAGCTAACGGGGTCAGCAGGTGGCGTGGTGGTTAAAGTGCTGGACTCCCACATGGACAACCATGGCTTGAGTCCTGGACCTGGAGCCTTGCTTTCTCACTGTCCCCCCCCTTTCTCTCACTGGTCAAATTAAAATAATAATAATAAATTTAAATAAGTAATTTTGGAAAAAAATTAAATAGAACCGTTTTACTTGGGACATTTTATGTGCAAATTCTGTGACACCTAGTTTGAAATCACTTGTCCGAAGAGAATTTATGAGCTCGAGGCATTACCAACCTAAGCCATCGTAAATTAATTCTCTACCTGGGATTTCAGTGCATAGGTAGCGTAAACTCAGACTGAAAACCAACTTGAGGGTTGGCGTTTGTGGTCATGACGTCGTCAGGGGAGGCTCTCCCCTCATTCGGTGTGAGACCTGAGCACGGAGCTGTCTTTGCTCTCGGGTGACTTGGCACTCAAGTGGCAGGGCAGGGCAGCTGCTGGGCCTGACCTCCTGCGGGGAGCGGTCCCTAGAGGCTCAGTGCCTTCCCTCCTGCGTGTTGGACACCTTCGAGCCTTCCTAGGAGGGGGCCCGCGACTCGCCTCCCCTCCCGGGTGGGCCTCACGTGTTGTCCTCGCCCTCGCCCTCGCAGTGCCACTTGTGTCGCAGCGTTTAAAGCTGTGCAAAGCATCATGCACGTTTGTGTCCGGGAGCTGGTGGCCACACCTCTGGGAATCACAGTCTGACGTTCCTTTCTGTAACGAGGGAGAAGGCCGAGGCCGGGCGAGGGCAGAGCCTTGCTGTGTTGCCATCTTTCTCCCCGGGCTCGTTACTTAGGATTACAGGCACGGGCAGCCGGCTTGGCGTGTTTGGGTCGGCCTGGGCTGCAGCTTCCAGCCTCCCAGGCAGTGCTGCCCTCTGTGTGCCATTGTGCCTCAGTCTGATCTTTCAATTAATGACAAACATGCTTTGTGTGCCTAAATAATGACCCTTAATTGCCTTGCTGGAGTATTAAAGTGTATTTGTAGTTTTTCTGTAGGTATATTTCTCGGGTATTATTGTTAGGAATTTGTATGTAATATATAATTAAATCTTTTTTTTTGTTTTTTTTTTTAGAGTGGTTTTTGCTATGGGGTTTGTGCGCTCTCCAGAAAGAGAGCGACAGAGAGACAGAAAGTGAGAAATCACCCCCACCCCCGGGGGGGATGGCCACACCGCAGTCCCTTCTCCTCCATTCTCCTCTCTGGATCTTGGGCACGCACGCACAGGTGCCTGGCATGAGTTTAAGCCACTAGATCCAGGACTTGAACCACGGTCGGCTACGTGGGAGTCCAGCGATGTAGCCGTTATGCCAACTGCTGGTCCCTAAATCTTGTTTTATTTTCCTTGTTTTCAGTCGTAGTTGATATTCCAGACAATAGTGGAACACTTTCCAGAGCAAAGACTGCTTTTGCAAAATACGTTTGTGAATTTGTTCTAAAAACCATGGGTTTTTCTTTCAGTTTTAGAGTCTCGATAAAACAGGAGTAGTCTTGAACATTCCCGCGGATTTTCATTTCAGAGTTCATTTCTCTGAGGTGAGAAGGTGCAGAGTCTGGCCACGTTCACCAGTCACTAGCTCCGGGGCTCCTCAGCGAGTAACTCATGTCGGCCCCCTTTCCTTGTCTCAGCTCTACGCCACGGGGTACGGCGCAGGCGGCAGGCTGGGGATCGGAGGGACCGAGTCCGTGTCCACGCCGACGTTACTGGAGTCCATCCAGCACGTGTTTATTAAGAAAGTGGCCGTGAATTCGGGAGGAAAGCACTGCCTGGCTCTCTCTTCTGAAGGCGAGGTGTACTCGTGGGGTGAGGCGGAAGACGGGAAGCTGGGCCACGGCAGCAGAAGGTGCGTGAGAGCGCTGTCCCGGTGTCGCTTCTCCCTGCGCGTCGGCTGCCGTGCGGGCACGCTGCCCTCGCACTTCCCCCCCCCCGACCCCCTCCCCGCAGCCGCTCCGAATAGAACCC